ACTTGTTATCTTTATGCCTGGCTGTTTCGGAAGGACTGTATTTTAATTCCCAACATGCCTCCGCATTTTCATCTTTCTCTGTACACCGGGCCCTCCTTCAGGCTGCTGATGCTGTTTCTGTTCATGCAACCCCTTCACCCTAAGCCCAAGTTTGAAATCTTGTCTAGCCTGTCTTGCCTTCAATCTAGTCAGCTGCCAAAAATTGACAGATTTCACATCTGAAATTATTTCTCTTGCACCTGTTCCTTCCTTCTAAACCTAAGCCCCTACTCTAATTTTGGCCCTTGTGGTCTTGCCCAATACCCAGCTATGAGCTTTCCTCATCCGTATTTTAGAGACTGATATCAGATTAGCCGTTCCAAAACCCCCAAAACTGATGATTTCTTTCCTCAAAAGTGTACAGCAGTTCTTTCTCACCTACTGGCTTAAGGATACAATTCTTGCCCTTCAAGAACCACCAATCAGGCCCTGGACTACTTTTCTCATCTCATTTACATCTCCATCCTGGGTGACACGATGTTCTCCTGACTGTTCAGTTGGTTCCACACTTCCCCAGCTTTATGACTATGTCCTCATGTTGCCTGCCTTCCTACTTCTGTCCATTGAAATCCTATTATCCTGGAGCTCTGCTGTATGCCTGCTACCGATGCATGCCCTCACTACTGCAGAAGGCCTGAGGCCTGGCACTGCACAGTCTTCATCTTTGAGAATGTTGCAGTTCCTTGTGTAGGAACTGCTACCTAGCTACTCATTTAGTTATTTGCTAAGTAGAATGGAGAATAACTAATGTGTATTATGAGCCTCCACATGAGATCCTTGAAAGAAGTTCCAAACCTTGCTTGACATATTTTACAGGAAAGGAGTAAGTGAATTGCTCATTAGAACGCCTCCTTGCTTTATGTCCCCTATCCATAAGAGGAAGAAATATGTCGTCTTGCATCTCAAATATCTGGAAATTGGCCTTCCAATAATCATGGACTATAGTATATTTTTCTGTTTACATATTACTTTCAACTCACTTTGCCTAAAGTGGCAGCAGATTTTAGCTCCAATCTTCATCACTGCATATTTCCTTGGCTGGCTTAAGAAACCCTTAGAATTGGGATCCTGGACACAAATCGTACCTCTAATAGGTACACTAAGTAGCTAGATGTTAACCCCAAAGAGGCAGTAAACAAAAAGTCTCCTAATCTTTACTGAAAGGATTAAATTTGTACAGATATTAAGTTATGAAGTTATGGGAACGCTAATAATTTAATGCTAAAATCTAGATAGTTGCCATGCTGCTTCTTAGAACTCAAAATGGTTTTGCCTTCCTGTTTTGATTTCATTCCTGACCTAGGGAGTTACTCTAACATTACTTTTGGTTCCTTATGAATAATGAATTTGGCATAGGAAGGAGCTGTTTTGTTAAAAGCAGTAATACTTTTTAAAATTAGAAAGCCAGGATAGGAAAGGTAAGCAAGTCACTGCAGCAACTTTGATATCCTGAAGCTACGGAATCAGATTCGATTGCCTTTTCTCTGCAACTTATAGTGACTTAGAATATGCTGGAACCAAATGTTGATGAAATCATTTATAACTTCAGGTAAAGGAATACGCTTAGCAGAAGAAGCTTCGTGAACCAAACAGTCATTTACTCAAACAGAGCCGATGTTCTTCACTAGGATCAAAAACCAACTAGACAACTTGGATGGATCCCAAGGGGATGATACTGAGTGGAAAAAGCCAATCTTTAAAGGCTACGAATGATATAATTCCATTTAAATAACATTTTTAAAATAAAATTAAAGATATGGAGCTCTGTGGTGGCTAAGGGTCAGAGATGGGGAGGAGGTCTGTGATTCAGGGACGGCAAGAGGGAGCCTGGTGGTGGATGAATTTGGTGGTAGTGGTCACATGAAGCTGCACAGGTCCGGCTGCATAGAACCACACACACACACACACACACACACACACATACACTTACACGTTCAAATCTGATAGTGTCCTACAGTTACACAAGATATTATCATTGAGGGAAAGTGCTGGGTGAAAGGTGTGTGTGTTCTCTTCAGAATAAAAAGTTTTTAAAAAATCAGACATTTTCTTGTCACTTTAGAGAAGGGGCCTGTGAGGTCAGGCGGTAACATGAATAAGTTACGTGGCTGGGAAGCAGGAGGGTGAGAACTGCCTGAAATATCAGGGAGGCAGCTGCCAGGCAGCCCCTGCCTCTGTGGGACTGTGTGCCTGGAACTGCTGAGTCTTCTGGGTGTTGTTGCTGTTTCACAAGATGCCAGAAATCAAAATCGCAAGTGAAAATCTCTTGACTTTTATTGACAACCAGTTTAAATTTCTTTGAATGCTGCCTATAGGCCAAATGAAGACACTATTCCTAGATGGCTGGATTCAGTCAAATGATTGCAAATAATTCAGTCTGATGTGTGCAAACTCAGCTTCAGGCCAGAGGTTCAGTTTGGCCCTGTTAGGCTGGAAGAAGGAAAAACAAGGACATGCAAACAGAACAGAGAGATGCCATAGGGGGAGAACAGACCAGACCCCAAGGTCCATGCCTTATATGGAAAGGGGACAGCTCTTCCTGAATTCCATCCTTCTGATGTGCCAACTAAGACCCGGATGTCAACCTCCTCCCTCTCGGAAGGAAAAAAGTTTCTAGTTGTCTATTATGTCACCTTTAGCTAATCATACCCCTCCACGTCCCCTAGGATAGCTTGTCCACTCCTCCCCCTACCAATCCCTTATAAGCCCCCACCTCACTGACTGGGTGTGACTTCCCCGGCCTGTAGTACCCAGACCGCGGGACATCGCCCAAGAGTTGCACTCAAATAAACTACCTGGCCCTTTGTTGCCTCTCTTCGCCTGCTTATTTCGGCTAAAATTTATCTTACAGGCCACAAGATGAATTGTCCACTCGATAGCCTGGTTATCTCAGTATGTAGTTCATGCTTGTCTGTGGTTCCTTAGAAAAGATGGAGAAATGGGTGCTCCTGAGAAAGTAAGTGCTCTGATCAGGCCTCTCGTGAAAATGGCATAAGTCCCCAGTCACTGACACCTGGGGAGAATGTCGGGCTGGTCACAGCTCAGACTGAGTGCTGCTGCTTCCGGAACTGCCCTGCAAGCTCTGACCAAGACGTTCTCAACCACTTCCTCGGCATGGTGCCTGGGACCCAGTAGGTGCTGTGTTTTCAGAAGTGTTCATTTGTTCTTCTCCAGCTGCTTCAGTTCTTTTTATTTCTTAAAGCTGAGTTCTACCATAACTGAGAAAATGAACTGGCATCTGGTATCCTGTGCTAGAGTTTCCCTGCGGTTGACAGAATGGCCTGGTGAACATACTTTACGTGAGCAGCATGCCTAAGCTGTGTCTGTTTGAACTCTGAATGTCAGCCTTGTGCTAATTACTGCAAATGAGCAGAAGGAGGTGCCGAGGAGGTCATTATTCTGGTTTTAGTCCCTTAAAGGCTTTTTTTATCTCTGCCCTGCTAAATGCCCGGAGTCCAGTCATCCCATCTCCCCCAACTTTCAACCCAATGCTGACTTTTCAAAGTGAGAAGGAGGACAGAGCTAACTGCATATTCTTCGCCATTACCACATCTGTGAGTTAATTTCAACTCCCAGCTCTCCACTGTCTGAAACATCATGTGCTCACTAGACTCCTGTTGTCAATCTCTAGTAGACAGAGCACACCCGATTGCTTCAGGAAGGAAAGGAGTAGAAAAATTTCCAATTTTAATTAAAAAAATGAAATTTCACCTCTGTTCCACGTATACATTCTCAGTCAAATTTAAATTATTAAAAGATTTATTTGCAAGACAGTTTTGTCCTCTGTTCCCCAAAGACCTGCTAATAAGAAACCTGGAGAAAGTTTTCTAATCCTCCTTTAAAAAAAGTATTTGCAGGTATTATATAATTATAAATCAATATAAGAGTCTTTTCCTGTTTACTATTTTTTTTAACAAAGCTTTAAAATATGCAGACTTTTAAAGGGTTGGTTCTTGGTCTCAAAAATTATGCTAATCAGGTGGTAGGAGCAGTGATTCAAAGTGTAGCCACTAATTTCTCTAAGGGGAAGTATGCAGAGACCCTGGGCTTCACGTTTATTTTCAACTAATTATCATGTATTTACGTTTCCATTAGTCCAATAATTTTTCTTTCAATTCAGCATTAAGCAATAAGACACTGAATTATATAAAGGCCTGTTTAACATAGCAGACACACCCTATCTTTCCCTAGTCCTCTGACTTACAGCTTTTAAAATGCACAACCAAGAGGCTGTCTATATGCCTTTTTGTATTTATACCCCATTATGCAGACACCCCAATAACTTATGCATTCTCAAAAGGACTACTTAGCGATTGATTCCAGTCTTTCCTAACTCACCATCTCATTATGTAAAGAGGACTTGAACACAAACTTTATTAGCAACTTTAGTTCAAATCCTTCTTATCTTCTCTACCCTCACCTTACCTAGTACTGTCAGTTTATATGTGACCAGAATAGTCTGGAAAATGGCAGTTTAAAAAAATCCACATTGGACTGGCAGCCCATTTAGTAATTGGTCTTTGCACTGTGGGGCACTGCCGTAAATCGAGACTGTCATATTTCAACTGAAGCATGTGATGCAATTCTTTATAAAAATGGAAATGAATTCTCCCTGCCGCACAACACAGCATTTTAACTATGTCCAGGAGGAATGGGCAAGTAAGGAAGCTATTATTTTTATTCTAAAGGTTTAAAAAAAAAACAAACAAACTCTAAGCTCTCTGTTAAAAGGTAAAGGGATTTATAACATGACTTCTTCAAACCCCAGAAAGAGGAAGGACACTTTGCAGAGTTCTCCTGTGCATTCAAAGCACATCGGCGGAAGAGCTGAAACGTTGTATAATGTACATGTTCTCATGGGAAGGAAACAAGGTGGGCTAATGAAACCAAATGAAAGGCAGCAGTTGAAGATGCGTCAAATGCGTGAACAGGGAGACATCTCATCAGTGCATCTGACTTACCAACATCGGGATCCATGGCTTGGACTCTGGTCAGCAGGGCCTTGGGGGCTGTGTTCTCATAGACACAGGTGTTGTAGTGATCAGAAGAAAACACAGGGGGGTTATCGTTCACATCTTCCAGGATCAGGCGGATGTTGGACTGGCAAAACCTGCCACCCCCGTCGGTGGCCCTGGCAATCAGGCTGTATGCAGGTACCCTCTCCCGGTCCAACAGAGCCAACGTTTTTAACTCACCTGTGAAAATAATGGCCTGGCTTTTCAAAAACCATCCTTCTTTGAAGAACAGAGAGTCAATTATATAAAGAATCCCCAATGCAGGAAGGACCAATGATACTCAAGTGCCTCATACTTTGAAAAACAGAGCAAATTCAGTTTTAAGCACCAGGGACACATTTATGGGATTCTGGACACAGCAACAGGCCAACTGCACGGCCTTCAAATTAATTAATCTCACTGTGAAATTGCTGCTGTCAGGGATTGTTCCATTTAGCTAGCTGGAGAAGCACCGTACCTCTTTAAGCCTCTCAAGCCCTGCTGTGGGGATCAGCTATATCTCTGGCTTTCTGAAATATCTCCAGAAAGAGCAGAGAGAATGTACTCATATCCTTAGTTCTCGGATGGTCAGTCATGCCAATAATCTGTAAACCCAGAAGGGTAAGTCTCACTGCTTGCAGATACTCAGCATCGTTTACCCCATCTTTTGGAGAAAGCAATCAAAATGGAGGGTTAGCAGACAGAGGTCTGGAGGGAGTACTACTGTGACAGCGTGAACCCTACTTGCTGGATTGCAGAAGCACCCGTGGTTGCTGGGCAAGGGTTCCAGGTGCAGGATACCTGAGGAGCATGGATCAGGAACTACTCAGCAACCAACATGGAGTAGGTTACATTCTACCCTGGAACAGCTGTACTGGTGCCGGTGTCAGCCCCTGCGGAGACCCTCCACATTCTGGTTGGAAATTACCTTTCCCACCACTTCTCTCATAAGCTGTTCTCTAGCTCCTCTTGGAGTAACAGTGTGCACAGCATTCCCTGGAGCAGCCATGCTCTCTGCTCATGCTGCCCCCAAGGTCTGCCATGTCCTGCTTTAGCTACTACTTCCTCTTTGCCCACATATAACTCCCCTGATATCACTCTAAGGCATGACTTTCACTCTGCCTTTCATTATTATTACTGCTATTGTTATTATTACTGTTGGCTTACTGGTCTGTTCTCCTCTGGGTTGCAATATCTTGGCAATAATATGTTTTGCTCATCTTGGCGTCTACCACAAATATCCCATAAAATGCTGTTATGCCTACTAGTTACTCAATAAATGTTCACTATTGAATAAAGTATAGACAGGCCTAGATAGCCCAGTATCCTATTCGTAAGCAGCTAGGTGCTTCCTGGTCAGATACAGGTGACACAGGAGAGGGGCGTGAGGGGCCACACCTTTTAGACACTCAGTGTTAGTTACTGTTCATTAGGACCAACACAACACTGCGAACAGGCAAATTATTTGATCTTCATGCTTCCTTTAAAAATTACCATTGGGTGGACTATCGAATACACAACACTGAAATAATTTACCTCCATAGAAAACATCTTTTCCATTAGCTCTGACCTCCAATGCAGGCATCTGCCTTGAGCACAAGTAAACTTTCACCTTATAATTTTTACCTGAATATATAAGCAAATCTGAGGACTCATAGCTTTGGGGAAACCAGACAGAAATGTTTAATAAAAACCGGACAAGTATGTTAATAAGCACCCAGAAGGGATTTCAACAGGGCAGACTCTCCTTGCTAGGCTATCTGGTGTGCATGGTCACCTGAGTTTGTGATATGACTCTATTCATACACCTTACAGGGCAGATGCTTTAACTCACGGACAGGAGACACAGGAGAAGGAAACAGACCCATCTGACTACTTGATGCTAACAAACGGGGGTAAAGATGGGGGAAGTTTTATAACCTAAATAAGCTGTGAGCTCTAGAGCACCCATGTTCAGACACCAGGTGCAACCAGTACAGCAGAGCGTCACTCAAGGCTCTTGTGTACTAACTACCCACTACTGATAAGACCATAGGGGTGTTTAACTTTTCTCATAGATTGAACAGTGTCATTTACCCAAAGACTAAATTTCACACAGCAGAGCGTCACTCATGGCTCTTGTATACTAACTACTCACTAGTGATAAGACCACAGGGGTGTTTAACTTTTCTCATAGATTAAACAGTGTCATTTACCCAAAGACTAAATTTCACCTTACCACTTTCTGGATCTAGAAAAAATTCATCATCTCCAGGTCCATACAGTGAGTACTGTATATCTCCATTGGATCCGATATCAGCATCCCTGGCACTGACCTTCAGGATTATTTTATTTGATGGGATGTCTTCAGGAAACAATGCTGTATATGCAACCTGTGCAAAAGTAAAAAAAAAGGGAATAAAATTGTTAGTATTTGTGGGGCAACTGCCACATTGAACATTACAAATGATTTCTTTAAAAAATGCATTCAGTAATTCACCTTTTAGCTACTTTTTTACTTCACCACAGAACCATCTTACAATATATGACATGTTATAATATCTCTTGCCCTGCCCCTTGCATGCACATTCATTAAAAAAATACTGAGTGAGCACCTACTATGTGCTAGGTACCATGTAGAAGCTAGGAGTACAATGGGGAAGAAAACAGACAAAAATTCCTGCCCTGTCGAATCATGACAAACATCACGTACTGATAATGGTCCTTTTCTCTGTTAAGCACCAGTGGCTCCTTGAGACCCTGTAACTCTTTAAAGAGCCACTATTAACCTTTAGCATTAGTATGAGAGATTAAATCTGTTTGCAACACTTTTCTAAGCTACAGAACACCAATATTGTCTGCTGGTCCACATGGCAAGGAAAAGGTAAATTAATAGTGATTTAACTTCAGTAAGAAAGAAAAAAATATCTAGTACTGGCACTTTGCCTTTGCTGTCACGCTTTTTAGTATGGTGGACAGGCTACTTCATGAGGAGCCTGGAGACATGGGTTCAATACCACCACTGCCACTAACCAGCTGTGTAAACTTACACATAAAAAGTAATTTAGGCTATCAAGTGCTCCATTTCTCCTTTATGAGATCAGTGATTTAGACTGTAAGTCATAAGATCCTTTCTGATTCCTTAAAAATCATTTAATTTTAAACTCATGGTTTTTGTTTTTTGTTTTTGGTGGGCAAACTTAGGTACCTGATTATGCTGACTATAGTCTTTCCGTGTTTATAATATTTCATCCTAGACTCTACCTCCTACCCTCTGATATCCAACTAGAGTTCACTAGTTAAGGAGATAGAACAGAAATTAGCCCGCTTTAGGAAGAAACGTGAAGGGGGTTTTCATTCTGTTTTAGAGAAACAGAGCGAAACGCAGCACTATATCCACAAATCTTACCTGGTCACACACTGGGCTATTGTCATTCACATCACTGACAGTCACTTCCACCATGGCCTGTGTGACAAAAAGCCCATCGGTGGCAGTGATATTGAGGAAGTAAATGTCTTGTTCTTCTCTATCTAGAGGTCTCTTCACATAGACCTTCCACTCGCTCTGCACCAGGCCCAGAGCAAACCTTCCCCGGGGGTTCCCTCCTGCAGTGCAAAAAGAGTTTCTGAGATGCGCAGTGAAAGGCTTTGATCTGCACCTACAGCGGGAGGCCTGTGAGGGGTGGACCAGGTGCCTTTCAAACTGTATCATTTCCAATACTTTTGATTCTCCTGCAACAAAGCATGATATTTATATGCTTGGCTTGCGTGGAAAGAAAAACAGCAACTTTACAAGAGAATAAAATGCACTTGGAGAAGCTGGAGGTGATCTGTTGTTTAGTTCCCCTTAAGGACAATCAAATTCAAACTGTGAACAATCAGTCCTCTTCTCAGGATGACACAATTGCCTTTCCACTTTGTCTCAAGAGAGGATGTCTAACAAGAGCTGTAATACACTACAGCTCTTATTACCAAGACAATTTTATTTCTGTAGATTACACAATCAAGGAAAGGCAGTCAGTTCTACTAAGGGGTCTTTGAATAAAGGCTTATCATACAGCTGTGCACTTCATTTAAGGACTGGAATTTGGGGGAGAAAAGTTTGCATGACAGAGGAGGACCCACTAGCACTCAACAGCCCTAAGGAGGGGTCCGTTTAAGGAGAAGTTCAAAGATAAGCATTGCAATTAGATCAAATTTATCAGAGTCAAGCTGGTGAAAGTAGAAACGTAGAAGAGGTGAACTGGAACAGCTTTGATGCTGCTGAAACACTGCCGGTGGTCCAGCAATATTACTTTCCCATATCCTGAAATTACACGGAGACAAAAGCAGCTGGGAGAAGATGGGAAGAGGAAGGAAGAAGAAAATCACTTTGGCCCTCTAATCCTGAGGAGGAAAATAATGCCATTTCAAACACAGAGGATGTCAGGACAAGACAGCTGGTGAGCAGCCCCGGAGCCCACTTAGATCATCTCTGTCTCATTTGTTGGGGCATTCAACCCGCACTTGTTGCCTGCACTGAGCCAGGCACTGTTCTGGGCAGTAGGGCTACAGCAGTGGACAAGATAGAGAAAAATCTCTGCTCCCATGATGGAGATCACATTCTAGAGGGGAAGACTGACAAAAATTAAATAAACAAGGAAAGCGTGCCGACTGCTACTTTATTGAAAAAGTAGAGCCACTTCAATGAATCTTTCAAAGAGCAGAAGGTCCTGCCAGAGGGATTGAATGAAAGCAGTGAAACTTTGAGGGCCAGACCTCACTTCTGATTATAAGGCATGGGTGATCAGTCCAGGGGCCTCAGCAGTGTGGGACAAACCATGGGATAAATGGGCATACTGGGCAGACAGAGCAGAAAAGGTGAGGGCTGCCCATTCCTCTAGGGCAGTGTTATCAACTGGGAGTGAGAACCTGCCCCTGACTCCCTGGGGGACATCTGTCCATGTCTGGAGGCATTTTTGGATGTCACAAGGTGGGTGGAGAGTGCTATTGGAACCTTCTGGGTAGAGGCCAGAGATGCTGTCAGTCACCCTGCAGTGCACAGAAAGGCCATTTCCTGCAGAGACTGAGCCAGCCCCAAATGTCACAGTGTTGAGGTTGACAGGTCTGCTCTGGTGAGACTCGGGGGTCTCCCTGGCCTATCACTTTCCTCACCACTAGCTAGGATTCAATTATGCTACAGCTGGATATTATTTCAGTATGAATGAATTCACGCTCACTGTTCATGCTTCCGGAGCAGGCCCATATCTTTTGTTAAATAAAATGATTAATGGTCCTTTGTTAATCTGTGACAGCATAGCCAAGTTGTGTTACATCAAGAGCAAAAGTGAAATCTAATTAAAATCAGTTGGTGGTTGGCACCGCTAACAGTAACAGTAGCTTGAAGCTACTCTGTTCTCATTACTTTGCTGAGGTCGACAAGATGGTCCCTTTAAGTCATCCATTGAGAACGCAGAGACAATGTAGGCACAATTAAAGCTGAAAATTTAACAGCTCTCCCAAATAGAAAAGTGTCCCTCCGGAATGACTGAGAAGCTTTTTATTTGTCACTGAATGTAAATAAATCGAAGTGACGCTTCTCACCTTTCCTGAGCACTATTGCTCATGTCTTTGAAATGCAGAACTACAGAAATACGCATTAGGGGAAAAAAATGGAGGCTATCGGATAAAGCACCAATGCATAAAGAGCTTTGAACAGAAAACACTTCCAGAAAACAGTTCCACAAAGAGAAGGAAGATAATGCGGAAGAGGAGCACAGCAACCCCGGCGCTGACGCATGCGCCCTCCTGTGGAACTTATTCTGTGATGATTAATTAACTTTCCCACTAACATACTTAAGCAGATTCTGCATCCTGAGGGCATTCTAATTAATTCACTTCTCACTTTGAATAATGGAGTTTTTCTAAAGGGAAGCCACCTGACCCACAAGTATTGATGGATTCTTTAAAATCTTTTGGCATTTTGCTTATGTTCAGCCTTTCATTGTCACAACATCAAAATATTAGCCTTAAAGCTCTTGAAGAGTTTTTTGGGAGAACTGTTCCCACACCATCCCCCCTCTCCTTTGCAGTTTAGGGCCAGCAACCTCCAGAAGTATACCCCTGATCAGTGACCCTGTTCTTCACTCTGACATGAAATTCTCTACCCCTCAGAGCAATGGTGACATTTTGCTTGCCATTGAAATGCTACTTACTGTTAGGAAAGACAGAAAAGGGATCCAAGAAAATTGAGCTGTCAGAAGAATATACCCTTTGGATTGGGGTTTTAACTTCAGATTTTTCACCAGAAGTTCAGACACTGCATTCTAATTTGAATATGTGTGCACGTGTGCGTGCATATGAGTTTTCATTACCAGGAGAAACTTGTAAGTGAGGCTTACTGGGGTCAAGCTATTTATTTTCTTACCACTACAAAAAGAAACAGGAATATGATTAAACACATATCCCTCCACCAAAAAAAGCAGCTATTTGCTTTTTCTCAGCTGAGATGTTTGGCTGGATTCCATTTTAAGTGATAAAAAGGGACTCAAGGACCGGGTACTAACCTGGGTAATCTGTCATAGGCAAACCAATATACTACAAACTAAGGCTGGGTTAGCAAACAACTGACCACTGGAAAACCACGTCAGCTCAGAGATCTTTTACTCAGCCCCACAGAGGTTTTATTACTCTCACTCCCTCATTTCCTCTTCCTTCTCTCCTGCTCTTACCCCTGCCACCTTTCACCTTTAGGAAGCAGAGCAAATTGAGGGCGGTAGACTCACCTGTAATATGGTAGCTCACTTGGCGATTAATGTCGGAGGTGTCTCTGTCCCAGGTGCTGAGGACAGCTACCACCTCGCCCGGAGGGTCGCTCTCCTTCACGTCCCCTCGGTAAACCTCATGGGCAAAGACTGGAGCGTTGTCATTTATATCTGTCACCCTGACAGAAACCAGAGCTGTGGAGGAAAGGGAGAAGGCTTCTCCCAGGTCAGAGGCCACCACAGAGAAGGTGAATGCAGGGTCTGTCTCGTGATCCAGGTCCTTCAAGGTACTGATCCAGCCTGTGTTGCTATCAATATTGAACGCTTCCATTATCTTTTCGGGCTGGGAATCCGAGTGGAGGGAATAAGTGACCTGCCCGTTGGCTCCCCAGTCTGTATCAATGGCTCGCACCTGGGTGAGCTTGGTGCCAACAGGCATCCCTTCCATGATGATGGCCTCGTAGCTTGAAGTTTCAAAGACTGGCTTATTGTCATTCAAATCCAACACCTTGATATCTATGTCCACAGTAAACACAATGTCCACCTTGTCCAGGGGTATAGTGGCTGCTACTTTAAAGTGGAAAGCTGGGCTGATTTCATGATCAAGACGTTTGTCGAGCTTGATTGTGCCCGTTTCCTGTTCTATGATGAAGACACCTGCTTTGTTATTTTCTGGCCGTTCCCCATTCACCGTGGTGAACCTGACATTCTGGCTGGGCAAAATCCTCAGGGTGTCTACTGTGCTCCCAATGGCTGTATCTTCTGAAACGGTGAAAGAATACTGAGACTGGGTGAATGAAGGCAGGAATGTTTCCGGGGGCACGACGTGGATATAGACAGGAATGAGAGAGTGCTTTACTGGAATGCCTCCATCTACGGCTTTGACAAAGAAGGACAACACTGTGTTCTTCAACTGGTTAAAATTGCCCTTTGTGACCATCCAGCCATTGTCAGGATCGATTTCTAGGAGGTCAGCCACCGAAACCGAGGCCTCACTATACAGGGAATAAGTAATCCTTGAGTTTGCTCCATCGTCTGGATCCATGGCTTGAACCTGAGTGACCAGGTGGCCCCTTCCCACATCGGCCCTGACGCTGGCTCTGTACTCCACGGTCGCGAACTGGGGAGCATTATCATTTTCATCCACAACGATCACCCTCACAGTGCAGAAAGTTGTTCTCCCTCCACCATCGAGGGCCCTCAAAAAAATACTAATGTCCCCTTCCAGAGGGTTTTCCCGGTCAAGCTTTTCTGTTGTGATGACCTGTCCATTGCTATCTATGAGGAATCGATCCTTAGCGAAGTCATTGATGATGGTGTAGCTGATCTGCCCATATATCCCTGGATCCCCGTCCGAGGTGCGGACATGAATTACCTTTGTCCCAATGGCCGCATTCTCTCTCACCTCTGCTACGTAGGTGCTTTGTGAAAAGGCAGGGCTGTACAGGTTAGCCCCGAGGACTCTGATATGCACCTGTGCTGTGCTGGTGAACAACCCATCAGAGACTGACACATTGAGGCTGTACAGAGGCTCCATCCGCTGCTTCCGGTGGTTGGACAGTGTGATGACCCCACTCCTACTGTCCATCAGAAAGCTCGTCCGGTCATTCCCAGATAAAATGTTATATTCTAAGCGGTCAAAATCAGAGCTGTCTGCATCAGAGGCTTGAACACAAGTTACAAAATGGCCCCGGGGGGCTAATTCACTCACATATGACTCATAAATGAGCTGATTAAAAACTGGAGAGTTGTCATTTATGTCTGAGATGTAGATATGAACCAAGACCTCACTGCTCAGTGATGGGAAGCCATTATCTGTGGCTCTGACTTTCAAGGTGCAGTGTTGCACTAACTCATGGTCCAGCATCCGTGCTGTCAAGATTAAGCCACTTGTGCTATCTATGTGAAAATAATCTGTGCTGTTGTAAGTATCCTGCACAATCTGATAATGTACCAGTTTATTGTTTTCTGAATCTGCATCAGCAGAGACAACTTGCAGAACAGGTGTCCCAATAAGAGATGCTTCTGATAATGTTGTATTATACATGGGTTGATCGAAAACAGGGGGGTTGTCATTTATATCATTAACTAACAAGTCAATGGTGACTTCAGCCCTGGCACCAGTAAGGGCATCACTGGCTCTTACTGTCAACTTGTAAGCAGATATAATTTCATAATCCAAAGGGCTCACAACTTTCAGGACCCCAGTGTCAAAGTCAATGTTAAACTGTTTATAAAGATCCCCATCAATAATGATATATATGATGCCTTGGCCTTCTGGACTGGTGGCATTGATGCTAAGAATTGGGGTGTCCATTCCGATGTCTTCATCGATGGAAGCTGTATAAAAGGGTTTGTCAAACACAGGCATTGCTTTGTTGACAACAGTGATGGGAAGTTCCACAGATGTGGACAAGGGGGGTTTTCCACCATCCTTGGCTAGGATGGTGACTCCATACTCAATGTTGGACAAGTCGGAGTTGAACGCTTCTTTTAATATAACGTTCCCTGAATTAGGGTTAATTTCAAAGTGGCCATAGTCATCCTGTAGGACATAGGTCACTTCTCCATTTGCACCTTTATCTTTGTCAATGGCTGTCACCTGGTAAATCAGAGTCCCAGGCTCAGCATCAACTTGTACAGCAGCATAGTAAGGGAGGCCCACAAAGACTGGAGAATTGTCATTTATGTCTTCGATATTAACCCTGACCACCACCCGAGCCACCCGCAGATGGTCTAGCTCGCGGCTGGCTTCCACTACCAGCTCAAATAACTCTTGTTCTTCACGGTCAAAGGGCACTCCAGTGGTCTGAATGACTCCTGAGGTAGATTTTATCTTGAACTTATTTCCTGGGTTTAAGATGCTGTATTTTAGGGGCTCATTAAGGCGATTTCCAACGGCATTGACAATAGCAACTTTGGTTATGTTAGTGTTGTTCTCTGAGATTGAGGTGGAGTAAAAGTTTTGTGTAAAGTGGAGGCCACTGTCCATGGCTTCTTTAACCAAGATGGTGACCACAGACGTACTGTAGAACTTTCCATCAGACACTTTAGCTATCAGCATGTAGTGATCTTTGGAGAGGTTGTTGTTTTTTATGGTGAGCACTCCACTATTTGAATCAATTAGAAAATGATCCAAGCTGCCTTCCATTAGGCTGTATGTCAGTTCAGGGGGCACCTCGGAGTCAGGATCTGTAGCACTAACTTTCAGAACCTCCACTCCAACATAGGTAGGTAGAAGCAAGACAGTCTCAAACACAGCCTGTGTGAAAACAGGTGGGTTATCATTCACGTCTGTCACGTCTATGTTGACTTCAACGGGACTCTCTGCAGTCAGCTGGGGGCTACCACTGTCTCTCACATGCACATGAAAATGGAAATGGGCAATGGTTTCATGGTCCAGGTTCGCAATTGTTCTGATTGCACCCGTACTGGAGTCCACTGTGAAGAACTTCTTGGCCATGGACTCCACAATCTGATACACAAGCAGAGCATTCCGGTTGCTGTCAGCATCAGTGGCACGAATCACCAGTGGGCTATTATCCAAGTTCCTGACAATGCTGTTGACTGGGGCAGCCTCACTTAGGCTGCCTGAATATTGAGAAAAGAGAAAAACAGGGACATTATCATTTTCATCAACAATCTGAACATTGACTGTGGCATTGGAAGCCATTCCTGCCATGTTAGTGGCCTGCACGATGAGCTGATAAGAGGATGCACGCTCATAATCCAGTGCCTTCCGAGTGGTGATAACTCCAGAGTATGGATTTACTGTAAAGATCCCATTGGTGTTTCCATCTTTGATGTCATAAATGAGGGTAGACTGGCTGATGGCAGAGATTAGTATGACTGATGTCCCAATATCCACATTTTCATTTACTTCTGCTTGGTAGTCTTTGTGCATGAACTTGGGCTGAGAATTATCAGACATGGTGACAGAAATGCGCACAATTGCAGTGGCAGACATTGGCGGGGATCCCTGATCCGTGACTTTGACAGACAGCACAAACTGACCCATTGTTGCCATGTCTGGTTCTTTGGAAACAGTGATGATGCCCAGGACCGGTTCAATCTTAAACGTGTTCCCCGTGTTCCCTACAATATAGAAATCAATGGGGAAATGAGTTACCAGTCAGTTTTTGAAGATTAACTCTTCATCTAAAGGCTTCTCTATGCAACGTGGTAGGTGGTAAGCAATTATTTGTATTCATTCCATCTTATTCTGGAATAAAATGAGAGACTTCTTGTTCCCGGGTATTCAAAAGCAATTGAAATGAGTCTTTCAGTAAAATTGTGAATTTCAGATCAGTTAATCCACATCAACTACAACAATAACACAGTACTGTGGACACTGAAGCTGTAAATAAGAGTTTGTAGGAGAGGCTTTCTGTTAAGAATGTTTGGGACTTACGTATTCCCAGCCTTGTTAGAAGGGGCTGGCTTATGCAGATGTCACTCTTAAGAAGGTATTTATACCAAACCAGTGCCAAATTCTGTGTTCAATATTATGAGAAAGAAAGAGGGCTGTAGCAATTGTTATAGAACTCTGTAACATAGTCATTTGGTTTCAGATTATCCCAAAGTTAAGCTTTGGTGCATGGTATTAGGATTACTTCATCCTATTGAAATTGACTTCATCCTCAAAACTACTTTGGTGAGGGGGTGTTGTTCAGGCATGAGGAATTCTTCCCAAGCCCAGTTTGCTTTATAAGATGTTAGGATGTTTTCTGGCTACCCTTCTATTTGCCACCTGCCCACATCCCAACATGCACACATGCACAAACAGGCGTAAAACTAAACATATAAAAAAAATTACACAGTAGTTGCTTTAATCTGTAATCATTCTACTCATCAAGCATTTGTAAGGCTTCTGGTGAACTCAGAAACTATTGATAATCTGAACTGGCACTGAAACCAAGAACTTGATGCACAGCCTTTATGAAATTGAGAAACTGGTATTCCACATTGACACAGCCAAAACGGGAAGGGCTATGAACTGTGACACAAGGAGTTTAGAGCTCTGCCTTTGAGATGTGTGGGATCTGGGATCGTCTAGATTCTTTTAAATCAAAAGTCAGAAATCTTGGCTATTCAATTATATTTGGACTTTTCTTTCTTTTTGAACTACCTTAGTATGGCAGACATGTAGACAGTTTACATGTTAAATTATCATTAACATAAGATCCAAATTGAGAGGGAGGACAGTAATAGGTGTCTGTTAGAATATACAGCAAATATAGCTGTACACAGACTTCTTACCACATACTTTTTAAATGAACTTTTCCATGTCTGAAAACAGAAGAGTCATGTTCCTATAAAATCTATTTCTATTAAATGCATGCTTATTTTTAAAGAGGAAGTAAGCTTAATAAAGAGGTATGGATTTTATTCCAGCCCCAAAATGTGAGTATTAAGCAATGCTATCAAGTCAGAGGAAGAAAATACTGTATGATCTCACGTATATGTGGAATCTAAACAAAACGAAATCAACCCTTCCCCACTACAGGCCCCCCACCAAACTTACAGAAAAAGAGATTAGACTTGTGGTTACCAGAGATGGGGGAAAGGAGGAGGAATTAGAGGCAGGTACTCAAAAGGTATAAACTTCCAGGTATAAGGTAAGTAAGTACTAGGGATCCAACATACAACATGACGGCTATAGTTATCAAGGCTGCATGACATACAGGGAAGTTGTTAAGAGAGCAGATCCTAAGACTTCTTATCACAAGGCCAAAAAATTTCTTTCCTATTCTTTTCTTTCCTTTTCTTTTTATTGTATTTACATAAGAACATCTTATATCAGCTGAGCCTATAGTGCTAATCATTTCACAATGTATGTAAATCAAACCATCATACTGTATGCCTTAAACTTAAATACAGTGGTGTATGCCAATTATTGCTCAACAACTCTGGGAGAAAATAAATACAGACAATGGTGTCTTTGATGTCAGTATGGTTTTCCACTTTGCCTCCTAAACATGACCATTTTTGTGATCACAACAAGAAATTCCATGATCTCATGAGCAAGCTTGTAAATTTTTAATAGATAGCACCGTGGAATTGAGTCTGAATCCAAGATTTGATTCATAGGCCCTTGCAAGGAGGCAGGAATATTTCACATCACCATCTCAGAGGAGGGAAATACAGAGACACCTGAGCAATGGTCACCTTCCAGTAATGATACCAACATGCAACTCTGAATGGTGACTGCCAGAGAGCCAAGTCTCTCTGGGGTCACTGATTCTGGTGCCCTACAGCAGAGTTTGGAGCTAAGTCCTTTCTCACTCTAGGCTCAGCGTATTTCTTAATACCCAGCAAGTCATACACATCAGCGATGAAGGGGAGTCAGCTTCTGACCTCAAATCGAACTTCATAACCCTGCTGTCCCATGGCCGCTCACAAGCTTACTGAACCCTTCCAGGCGGCTGTGCTCATATTCAGGTCCCAGGTGGGCTTTTTGATGCTTTCCTTCTTCAACAACACCATCCCATTTTCTTAGAACCCAGTTCCTGCTCATTCTCTCCTGCTACACTTGAGTCCTTGGAAATTAACCTCTGCTTGTTTTCTTGGAATCTACGGCTTCATTCCAGACTTCTGGCAGCTGAGCAAAAGCTGTGCTCATCTTACTTATCATTATTTATCTAGTACTCAGCACAGTCCTGGTACAAAGAGGGTGCTCAATAAATATCTGTTGAATGATTGACAGGAGAGATAGAGCTAAAAAATAAAAAAGATTTTTAATTCTCTATCTGTGTGCGTCTTAGCATCTGACAAGCCCCCATCCTAACTCAGTTCCTAGTCCTGGTCTTTCCTGTCCTGTCCTGTCTCAGAGCCATCCAGGAACTACTGTTGGTATAAAACATACACCTGAACTAAATGTAAGACCTGAGGTTCTGCATTAGAATTCCACCTCAGCCCTTTGGGCGAAAATAAGAAGCTTCAGCAGTTATTGGAGAGGCCAGGAAGGAGACAGAAAATTTATGGCCCACCCACAAACAGAGTAAAATCTTGCTTCTCTGAGGTTTGTGAGAGAACTTAAGTGATACATACATTCCACAACCACTTTTCACCTCTCCTTTCACCATCTGGGAAGAAACTGGCTTTGCTAGGACCTATCCAGGCCTAGGGTAGGTCTGTCTGTCCGTGAAGAGACCCAGGGACCACCTGAGATTTACTGTCTACACTGAAACTTCATTAGCTTTTTGTACATATACTCAAAAGTCATTTTCCAGGATACCAATCATTCCAGAGGGTTTCTGGAAATTCGAGTTTTCTACATACAAGATGTTTTAAGGGAATAACTTTTCTCTCTAGTTTTTGTCAACTGTTAAAGAATCATTGGCTCCTTTCTCTATGTCCAGCACCAGGCTGTAGTCTGTGGAAGCTAAAAGACAATGGAGCCAGTGTTTTCATATGGTTTTCAAATTACTCTTACTCTTTGCCAACCTCTAAGTTAGTTCAAAAACTATCTGTCTATATAAAAGACAAAGATCAAATATAAAAAGCAAGTAGACACACAGATAAATGCTTAGAAAATGTTGTTAGAAAGGTAGAAATAAAACCCTATATGGAAATAATGAAAACAAAATGAAACAATGTATATGCATAAATGAATATGGGGAAAAGAAAAAAACGTGATTAGGAAAAAAATGTAGAAAGAATATGAAGAGTTGTTGGATTAGGTGATATTTTCTGTAATGTTATTTAAATATTTGTTTTCTTAAAAGAAGGTTCCTTATGTTATTTGTGGAACTAGAAGAACACTGATTATATAATTAAGAAAAATGTCCTGTGATAAGAAGAGATGTAAAAAACATTTTTTAAAAAGTACTGGTCGGGCATTAGGTTGAAAGGAAATTACATGGAAATCCAGAAAACAAATGAACTAATTTGCTTAGGTTATCTGGCTGCTAGGAACCAACACCTTTTCTTTCTTTCTTTTTTTTGTATAGACCTTAGCTTAGACTCATATAAATGTGGATGGCTAAGGTAGGAAAGAGTTTCAGATTATTATTTGATGGATCAGCTTAAAAAAAAAAGGTTGTTGGCTTTTCTTTTTCTAATAATTTTTTTGGTTCTAAAACTGTCATTCTAGCATTCATATTTTAATTCAACCACTTACAAAAATGCTCCACATTTAAATCACAGGAAAGAAGGCTTTCCAGCGCTGGCATGAAAGGAGACAGCATTTGGCTTTATGCACGACAGACATAATGTTGCAGAACATTTTGGAAATATGTGGCTTGAATATTCAAAAAAGACAGATGAGGGGAAGGGAAAATAGAGCAGATAAAGGATATTTTGTAATTTTGGGGCTCACAGTCCTATCCCTTGCTTGGACACTCATCTCTGCTTTCATAAATATGTTCCACCTGTGCATCTTCAGATCATCAGGAAAGTACGGTCTTGCCTTGTAGATATTCAAATTGATTTAAAAAAAAACCAATTTAACAAGAGTTCATATTTATTCATCTGCAGGTGAAGCAGGCAGGTCAGTCCCTACCAAGTACTCGGCTACTCTGATGGCCTCCAGTGAAGTGAACGTGTACAAACTGTGGGGATGTAGGAATTTCTGAAGCCTATAGCTCCCCCACTGGCAAGTAAATAAAGACCTATATGATGTAATTCACAGAAGAGTCTGGCAGGCCTCAAACGACGGCAGACTCTGGTTATTTCAGTCTGAGGCCATGGCTTGTGGACTCATAGGTCAAAGCCACTGAGTTTATCAGCCATTTCTTCTCTCTTCTCCATGCCAGAAAAATCTGCGAATGACACAGTAGAACAAAACTCTTTCCTCACTGTCAATGATGGCAAGCATACTACAGAAACGCCACGAACTTTGTATACCATTCTCACACCAAGAGGGCAGCTACTTGGCCAAACTACTCATCTGGGGACATTCCAGCGGTAACTGCGAATTTGACACGGTGATAAATACTAGTGGGGGTTGAACGCGACGCATCACGCTGCGGTCTGCGACGGCTCTCACCTGCCTCAATGGAGTAGATGAGCTCCGCATTCTCCCCTCTGTCTTTGTCCAGAGCCGTCACTTGTAGCACCGCTGATCCCAGAGCCGCCGATTCAAACACGGACGCTTCATAGAGGGGGTTGGTGAAATAAGGACTGTGATCATTAGCATCTTCCACATTCACAATGACTCGAGCCAAGTTTCTTCTATAAGGAAACTCCTGATCTCTGACCTTTAGGCAAAACACAAGAAGCGGCAGGACTAAAATCTTTTACTGCAAAGGAACTCACTCGACTATGTCTGTGGTGCAAACAAAATGAAGTAACTCACACGGAGTGCTTGACCCAGTCCCAGGCACACAGTAGTTCTCAATAAATGGTAGTGTTGTCAAGGGAGGGCAAGGACTGAACACAGTGAGAGTAGAGGCCATATCTTTCTTGCTCAGCATTGTGCCTGACTGATGCTGCTCAGTCTGTGTCTATGTAACTGATGCCTGGACATCAGACCCAGCACTTTCCCCTGTCCTCCCTGCTGCCTCCCACCTTCCCCCAATGCCTCAGCCACTATCTCCTTGGTATCTGTGTATATACAGCTGCTAAGAGAATGGGGGCTGGAGGCTCTTCTGAAGGGGAAACCAAGTGGAATTAACGAATGCAATGCAGAAATTGCCATTCATTCATTCATTCAACAAACATTTATTGTCACCCATTATCTGTCAAGTCCCTGGCTTGACTCTGGAGGAACAGCAGGGGATAGACCTGCAGCCCTTGCCCTGGAGAAGCTAACAGTTGGTCGGGGAACGTAAACCAATAAACAGACATGTATAAGGCCTGGTGGTTAAGGGCTACGAGGGGAGCGAGTAGTGAGAAGAACCTAACATTCAGCTCCTTGGAAGAGGTGACAAATAAGTAGAAGTGGTAAAATGGTGGTAGTGGTGGTGGGGAACACACAGTTCGGGCAAAAAGAGCCAATATGTGCAAAGGCCCAGGACTGAGGATGAGCTCTGATTACCGGGAAGGTGAAGAACTGAATCTTAATTTATGAAATGAGAGGCCCTCATTGTGACAGAACCTTGCCTGAATGCTTTGAACTTTCCCCTGGTGTGCATATGGCAGGAGCTTGCAAATAATTGATTTGTTAGCTCTGATCACATGATTTTGCTCTAATTTTAGGTAGTACTAATCAAAATGTGTACTTTTCATTTGTACAATTTTAGGCTCCATGACTTCAGAGAGAAGCGAAGACATTAGAAAATGTACTGAGAAGAGCCATCAAAGGGAAAGGGCTTTTCAGAAACAGGACCTGGAAGGAATGCACAAAATGACTGCAATGGCTTTGCTTGGAAGAAGGGCAGCAAAAAGGACTTGTTTGCCCTGAATACGCGGTTACATAAATGGTAAGTGGTACAGGGTGACCAAATGCAAGTCTGTTAAGGAAAGGAAAGAATGAACAGAGATGATGTGAAGAATTGTGAGAACAGAGTTAGTTGCTGGCATTAGTCTGTGGGGGTGTTAACTCCCTGTCTGCAGACTGGCCTGCTGCACCCAAGCAGGAAACCGAACGCTGTCTTCTGGGATCATGGAAACTGAGGACTGTCTAAGGGTGCAGGGACTGTGTCTCCTTTACCTCCTCAGTTCCTAGAACAGTGCTTGGTACATAGTACGTGCTGGAGAAGTATCTGTTAAATGATGTTTGGACCTGATGTCTGCTCTCTGGAGCCTCCCCTGCAAACCACAGCAGCTGGCATGGTACTCAGGGTCCTCTGGCCCAGGAAGGTTACCAAACTTGGGAAGGAATGGGAGCGCTCAGTGAAACATTACTTTCACCTTCTTGGGAATTATTGGCCCCTTAGTATGTCATAAAGTCAGTCAGTACACAAGATGAAGTGTCCGTCATCCTGCCTGGTCTTAAGGAACGCAAGGGGTTTGTTAGGCTGCAACTGTGCAATCGTGCACAGGGTTCTCGGATAGTTAAAGGGACAGACTTTGGGCCATAAACTAATCAGGGATGTTTCTCATTCATCTCTCTTTCCCAATAAGGTGACCTAGGCAAACTTCACTCTAAAACTAAAGCAACTTTTATATAATTTGGAAGCCACATGAACCCAAATTTATCTGTAATATTCCCTGCAGGCTTCAGTGTATTTTGAGATCTCTTCTGTGTGTCAGCATTTATTACCAGGTCTGGGGACAGTGAAATAAGTAGCATACCAGTTCTCTAAATATTTCCAAGGACTGAGCATTGCATAGGCTGAGCAAATCACTACCCTTGTGATTAACTTCTCAAGGAATCTTTTTTAAACTTTTCCTCAAAATCTTCTGGATATGACCCGATATTACAACCTGGGAGATGTATGGGAACAGGGCCGGCTCCTTCCCTCTCAGTCAGTCTATCAGCAGCTTTTACTGAGCAGCCAGAACTCATTTCATCTTTCAGTTTGGCAAAAACACAGAGTCGCTATCTGAAAAACCAACACAATCCTGCTGTGGAAAGACCAAATTCATGGCTACTTACAAAATGTGAGGGCCCTGGACTTCTGAAGACTATAATGTGTTCCTCAAATGGTCAGTGATTCTGCCAGGAGAGCAGGTGAACAGTTTGGACCTACCATTATGTTGAGAATGTGCTTGTCCTGGGCCTCATGGTCCAGTCTCTCCGCCGTGTAGAGCACTCCAGTGCTGGGGTCCATCCGGAATTTTCTCATGCTGATGGAGTCGATGCTACTGTGCACAGTATAGCTCAGCTTGTGCTTCTCGTCTCTGTCCGTGGCTTCGATCTGCAATATCTCTGTATCTGGAAGCACATCCTCGGAAATCGTCACGTCGTAATTCGGCTGGGAGAATTCTGGGCCATTATCATTATTATCCAGCACCTTGATGAATACCTATTGTTAAAAGAAGACAAGAGTGACGACTAATACCAGTTCGTTCATTGCTAACAGAGGTCCGCTCCCTCTCTCTTCCCTCCATGTCCTCGGATCCCAGCTTCCAGCAGCTATCTCAGTATGTAGGAAGATCTCAAGAGAAAACACGCTGTAATTAGAGGTTGATAATTAACCAGTACTTCAGTACAGAACATAAACTATGAACTGATCAATATTCCCACTATTAATCTAACAGCTGAGATGGCACCCTGGGGGGGATAATTCCACAGGACTATTTGAGGACAGTTTAAGAGATCACAAGGTGACCTTAGCATGTTAAGTTCCTATTATCTTAAGTTCTTGTTATGGGCTTAGAGTGGACTTAATGTGGAGGCAGTGACAGGATGGGAAGAGTAACAAACAAGAGGCACAGGAAAGGGAGGAATGAGCCTATGGGTTGTATCTTCAGAGGAAGCAGAGCTTCTCAGCTGCGGTGTCCATGCACAGCGCTGCCCTGCAGGAGCCAGGAGCCTATCAAAGATCCCGGTACTAGTGATAGCTAAAACATGACATTCCCAGGTTGATTTCTTTTACAGAGTATTTTACTATACAAAACTTGAGGCAGATATAAATGATATAAATCACAGTAAGAAAATAAGTAATAAAGAACCCTCACATATTTGCCACTCAGCTTTGACAACGATCAATTTATGGCTTATCTTGTTTCATCCATGTGCCTCTTGTCCCCATCTGCTCCCCATATTACTTTGAAGCAAATTCTAGCCATTATATAATTTCACTATATATCTGTGAAAGGTAGGGACTCTGTTTAAACTATACACACACACAATACTAATACTGCACCTAACAGAGAAAACAATTCCTTAATATTAAATGTTCAGTTGGTGTTCATATTTCTGGAATTTTTTTAAGTGTGTTACATATATTTGTAAAAAGAAAGCTAGTTTCCTTTAATCAGGATATGCAAATAATGTCCAAACATTGCACTTAGCTGATATGTCTTTTAATTATCTTTTAAGTTTTAGGCTCTCCCCTTATCTTCTTGCAACCTTTGTGTTGCTATTGTTGGCACTGAAGAAACTGTGCCATTTTCTCTAAGTGCTGCTGTTTGAATTTTGCTCATTGCCTCCCCATGGTTTTGTTCTGCGTGTCCCTCTTTCCCCTGCCTTTCTTCTACATTGATAGTTTGATCGGGGAGACTTGATTAGATTCAATTCCATTCCCTTTTTTCTTCTTCTTTTTCTTTCCTGACAAAAATCCCTCGTGGGTGACAGAGTGCACGTCCATCCTGAGATGCACAGAATCTGGTTCTCTTATGTGATATTGATGATCATTACACAGATAACTTTAATTCATGGAAACTGCAAAATGATAATCCTTTAATTCTATGATTTCATCCTCATTTATTAGCTAGAATAGTTCTAAGAAGAAACTTCAGTTAATTTGGTTACAGTGAAGTATGTTTCATGTAGGAAAGACAGAACAAATACTTAATTCTTTCCCTTTGTTGGTTCTCCGTTCTCCAGCTCTTCCTGAAGTGATCAATGAGGTATTAATTATACGCATCACTATGAGCTCATGAGTTTAATCCAATGTGATTATGTGTCTACCCCTACTTACTGATGCATAAGTGGTCTTCCCTTAGCTAGTGGGAGCCTCTTCAAAGTTGGCTCTTGATATCTTTGGACACAATCCTAGTGGTCTTTGGTAGCTTTCTACTAATTGTTATTGGTAATTTTTTCCAGGTCCACCTTATACATCTCCTGTCCCAGTCCTGAATTACCTATTTCTTCAAAAAGCATGGGTTTCTTTTAGCTAGAAATGGGGCTAGGGATCCTTAGCCCTATTGGGTTTGCTAATATGGCTAGATTTTTCCCAGTGGACAGAGTCAGCAAAGATTTTTGTTGTTATTATTTCATGAATTCATGCTGATACTCCCAATTCACAATTAGGTTTTACTTAATCTCATTCTTTTTACATTTGTGTCCCAGCTAAAACCCCAGGCTGAAATCCCACATGCTCAATGACATCATCATAATCAGCCATTGCTTTATCTGAAATAGATGCACAGAAGTCTCAGAATGACCAACTAACACTGTTATCATAATTACATCACACTTATGAGCATCCAAAACAATTTAATATTTAATATTTTTAGTTCTTTTGGTCCTTGGGATTTATCCCAGGGGGGATATGCAGCCAAATTAGTATGTTTTAAGTCACTTAGTATTTTTCTCTATGTAGATATGCTACCAACTGGATACATACAGAGGTTCATTTGCTCCCATTTACTTCTCAAATTTGAAACTTGACTTTTTAACATTTAATTTGTTTTATATTATATGTAAGAGTACCAATGTCAACTTCACTAAAAAGGTACGAAGAAGTATAGCTTCTGTATCTTTCTACTTCCCACTATCCTCTCCTTCTTCTACAGGTAAGGATTTTAAAAAATTAAGGCTATGTTTTACCCATCTGTTACATTAATGTAAATATATTGTATACAATTTCCCCCAACATGCTATTCCACTTAACACTGTATCAATGGCTCTCAACTGGGCATGACTTTGTCCCCCCAGAGGACATATGGCAATGTCTGGAAACATTTGGGGGTTGTCGCAGCCACGGGTTGACGGAATCTTGGCATCTAGTGGGTAGGGGGCAGGGATGCTGCTGAAAGTCCCGCAATGCACAGGGTGGCCCCCTGCTTCGAGGAGCTATCTGACCCAAAATGTCAATAGTGTTGTTGTTGAGGAACTGCATTATAACCAGGAGGCCACTCCACAGCAGTACAGCGATCCTCTTCTATGGGGAAGATGCATCATAGTTAATCCAACCAGTCCTCTCCTGAGATTCATTTAAGGTGCTTCCAGTTTTTGCTCTTAGACTGTGCAGTGAAGAGCTGTGTGCCCATGTCTTTACCTATTTTTGCTATCATGTATTTGGGTCCCTAGAATTCAGATTGCTGAATCAAAGGACCAGTGTTCATACAGTTTTGCTAGGTATTTCCACATTCTCCTCCCCAAAAGTTTTATCAACTTGCATTCTCACAGCAATAAATGAAATTGACTGTGTTCCCAGAGCCTTGCCAACAGAGTATATAGTCGAACTTAATTTTTTTTTGCCAATTTGATAAGAAATGGCATCTCAGTGTATTTTTGTTTCCCTCTGAGTGAGGGTGAGCATCTTTTCAGATGTGTAAGAGACATTTGAGTTTCTTTTTCTGTTAAAACTATTTATATCAACTCATTCTTCTATGGGTTACATGGCATTTTCCTTCTTTATTTTTGGAAGCATGGTGACACAAATTTCAAGTTTGTTTTCAATTTTGTCATTTATCTTTATTTTGCTCAAGGTGATTTTTTTCCCAGGCAAAAAGCTTTTATTTTTTTATTTTCATGTAATTGAATATATCAATCTCTTCCTTGATTGTTTCTGGATGCTAAGTCATAGTTTTAGAACATTTTCTACACTTCCCGATTATAGGTGAACACATTCATTTTTTTAAAAAAGCATTTCTATGTTTCTTTTCTTATATCTCTAATCCACTTGGAATTTTTCCTGGTATATTTTGTGACAAATGGATCCAGTTATATTTTTTTCCACATAGCTTTTAATGCCACTTTTTAGAAGACCATCGTTTCTCCATGAATTTGAGAGGCCACTTTTATTGTATGCTTAAGTTACATATGCAAATGGTACATCTCTGCCTTTTCTATTTTGTTCCATTGGCTTCTCAGTCTTTTCCTAGAACAATGTCAACATGTTCAAATTACAGAGGCTTTATGGTGCATTTCCACTGCTTGACAAAGTTAGGCCCTCTCTGTTCTTTTCCAGGGCTTCCTGGCTCTTGCTTGTTCTTCCAAATGAACTTTATAATCAGTTTGTATAGCACTTGACAAAAATGTGTGGCATTTTAAATTGGGATCATGCCCAAAGTATACGTTAACTAAGGAAGAAATGATTTTTTTTAATGATGGAGCCTCCCTATCCAAGAACACAGTTCATCTTTTTTCATTTGTGCAAATCTCCTGTTTTGTTTTTTAGGGGTGTTTTAGTTTTCCTCAGGTAGGTTTTGATCACTTACTACCATTTATATAAGTGCTATTCTAAATGAGGTCTCCTTTTTCCATTATATATTTTCACTGTGTGTCTTCTTTTTTTTGGAGGGCGTTCTATATTTGGGCTATTGGTTACTGTATGTTAAATTTATAACCTGTTATTTTACTAAATTTTCCTATCCCTTGCAGTAGTTTCTCCATTCATTCTTTTAAGCTTTTCAAATAGGTAATTCTACCATATGCAAATAGAGATTGCTTTACCTTCTTCCGTTACAATTCTTACCACACAAATTGCTTTATCTTAACTACTTGCTTTAGCTAAATACATAAAGAGCAATGTTAAACAGTCTTGGAAATGATGATATTCTTGTCTTATTCCCGACTAATAGGGAACATTATTTTCCATTAAAAATATGCAGGCATTTGGCTGCATTCTAGAGAACTACTTACTATTTAAAAATAAATGGGACCAGACTCTAGTTGTTCTTATAAATAGCTGCACCATCCCTCACCTTGGTGCAGATGTGCTGTTTTGAGGGAGAGGAAAATGGCAGTGCTATGACCTCTATTCCAGGATAATTCACCCAGGGGAGTAAGCCTGACATGGGGATAAGCTTTGCCTACAATGAATGGTAGGAAAAGGTTGAGGAGTGTGCGTATAGAGTTTTGCATTGCTTCATATTGCTTTCATCTTCACTGCATTTGGAAAGCCATACTAGGTTCTCTGAATGCCAATTATTTCCTTTAAAAAGTTCATGTTAATTTAGTCAAGATGCTAAAATATTTGTGTTCACAGAGCAGTTATATTAATGGGATAAAAAAGCTTTTCCAGGCCGGCAAGACTGCCCTGACCTTCATGAAGTTTTAAAGTTGATGTGCTCTTGAAAAGCTTGCCTCTTTCTGCTAAGCCTAATCTATAGTCGGAACAAGGGTTTCTCT